ACACACACACACACACACACACACACACACACACACACACACACACACACACACACACACACACACACACACACACACACACACACACACACACACACACACATATATATACTTGTAATTTATTATACATATGTATACCAATTATATTTCACGAGTTGCTGATATCCATTCTGTAGAGTCAATCATACTCACGCCAAAATTTAGTCGTATATTTTGACACACATCTGCTATGTAGATATGTATGCTGCATAAACTTACTATTTTAGTAGTGGAGACAATTGTACTTATGTCGTCGAAGGTCTTGTCTGGGTTAAAATTTGGAATAGATCTATTGTCCCACCTATACTTCGAATTCGCTCATTGACGAGGTCACACAAGTAATGCAAATCTAGCCACGCTCCACACTGCCGACGCTGCCCACGTCCCTCTCTAGCAAAGCTGCCCACGTTCCGTCCTTTATATAGTTATTATATCTATTTTTTACTTCACAAGCAAAAGAAATCATTTGTACATCATGAAGAGACGATGAGTCATTCGTTTTTCTGTGACGCCGTGCATATTCATTGTGGCATAAATTTATTTGTCAAAGATCACACGAACAAACACCACTAAAATGTTAAAATATGAATATATGCATATATGCATAGCCTTGTGTCTATCTTAGAAGGCTATGATATATGAATGTAAATAGATATATGGATTTATGTGCATATACGTAGATACGAATATTTATATTGTGCAATTCGAAGAGTTTTGCTTAAACAGCAGATGATGACAAACAAGTATAATACCGCCGATTCGGATACTGAGAGATTAGTACCCGATATATCCAAGTACGAAGAAGATACATATCCTGATAATATATATTCTGATACAACAACAGAGCAAGAAAATCCTTCCAGCCGGAAGTGTGGGAGGACTGTTATAAACTGCAACTGTGTCACAAGCTTTGTGGTGGGATTGCTGTTGATACTGAGCTGTTTTGCGTTGATCTTCATATCAATGGGGATGTCTCACAGTAAAGGGACGGGCATTGCTGCTCCAAAGTTGGGAGAGTTGGCTGGCGAGGAGTCAATTATGAGTAAAAAAGAGCACGGAACCTGCAGCCAGCCTGTGCAGGTAGGTTAATACTTACTACCGTTCGGTAGCGTAGGACACACGTATTTATACCATGTATAAGTTACTTGTAAACACATATGTGTGCTTATGCACATATTTGAGTCACACTCCTTTGTATCGTGTGTACGATACATAGAAGTACATACTGACATATATATATGCACATTTTCAAGCAGATGTCTTTGTTAAAGTGTATAACGAGCAATACATATATATGTAAACTTAACTTGCACATGTTGGAGAGGCAGGTATTTCTAATTTATAACGAAACACGTATAGTTGTAGTTATACACGTTTGGGAGTATATTCCATCGATTGAGCACTATTATATTGTACTGTCGGTGTCTGATGTACGCGATCATCGAAAGGGGTTCTCCATATCAGTCGATTTATTTCTATTTTCTGCCGTGATGTGAGCATGTTGATATGTCCATGTTCCAGCCATGCACGTGTTCATTATCATTGTGGTACCCAGACTCCATTCCTGCGCCTTTCAGTAGGCCTTATGCGGGAGTCATCAGTTTTATCGTCGTGCGAGTATAGCTTGTAGTTGTCTTGGCTTGTGTGGGGTAGCAGTTTGCGCGACTTGAGTGTGGCTGTTTTGCAATATGTACAAATTCTATCCGTCGCATGATAATATATTAGCTCTGTATGTTCTGACCAATTGACCTTATGATTGTTTGTTTTTTCCTACTAGAAGGGAAGCTCTGACATTTTGTGTTTACTGCATAGACCAACTCAAATAAAAATTGTTCCTTACTATATTTTATTGGTATGTGATGCGTTCGTTTAAAATATATCACGAAGACGGACGTATGCATTTAGCTGTATCATTGGGCTACAATATGCGGGACTTCGTGAAGGATAGTCTTTCTGAAGGATGACTTCCCGTGATTTTCGCATATATACACCTGACTTGTACTCTGATCGAGCCAGGGATTTGTTGTCACCGTCGTTTCTACCATAGTAGTAGTTGTTCATTGCGTCTCAAGTAGTAGCACGGCATTTCTTCGTAAATATGGTATGATTGATGCTGGTGCAAAAGTGTTTGTCTGCATTAACTTCGCTTTTTGCCGTCCTTGCCAAATATTTAGGACCACCTGCGCTGGAAGTGCCATCAGAGTTTGGCAGACCGCATCTGCTGTTTCAATCGAAGATATGCCGAGAATAGCGGCTATTGGCAACACACCGCATTTGCAACAGAGGTGCAAAAAATGGCAAAAGAAGGCGATAACACCGAAGTGACGTTCTACGACTCTGTGACCGGAAAACCACTTTTTATAGCCCCTAGGAATAGGACTATGCAGGACTTTATAAGCGAGAGCAGAGCTCATGGTTGGCCGAGTTTCAGGGATGATGAGGTTGTCAAAGAGAATGTGAGGGTTTTAAGCGACGGCGAAACAGTCAGCTTAGAGGGTACTCATCTCGGACACAACCTACGTAAGTTTGCCGTGCACGTGTATCATTGCCGAAATAACTAACTGTTCATGTTTTACAAGGATGCTATATCATTTTCGGTGCAAAATCAATGTTTAGCTCAGAGGTTTGGTGGCGGCCGCTGTGTCATTCATATTGATTAGATTCCATTGTGTGTGATTGGTGGCCCCTAAAGTACTGTTTTGAAAGTTTGTATACTATGTAGGCATGGAATGCAAAGCAATGCACCCGGGCTATACAGGCCTAGCTGTTTGTGCGTTGAATTCTGAATGTGACGTGCAGTAAGAGGAGTATAACGGGTTATACGTGTTCTATTTTTTTTAGCTGACGCTGAAGGAAAAGTGTTTTAAAACCAGATGATTATGACTCGCACTAACATGTTTGTGGACTGTGCCTGTGGTTAGACTTATTCAAGAATGGAATCTTGGTTGCTGTTTTTGTTTTGCTGTGGATTGTCTCTTATTGTGCGGGAACGCCCCGTGAAACTACGCACAAGTATTTTGTGTATGTCTTTGGTACATACAAAATCAGTTTGCTTAGTCTGTATACCAGCGAAGATATCTTGTGCACATAAATCATGTTCGTAACGGCCATATGAAGTTGGTTTATGATACTGAGCGGGTTGCACTAAGACACAAATATTGCATCACTTTGCAGCCGATAGAAATGGGAACAGATATTGTATCAACCTTGTGAGCGTCGCCGGTAATCCATCACCACCGTGAACAAGTGCTACAAAATAGAAGGTCTTGTACTATGTCTGGGTCATTTATAAATATAATTCATTTAATTTAGAAGGAATTAAATGTTTTTACATACAATGAGACTTTTCGATCAAATTTTTAATTTAGAAGGAATTAAATGTATTTACGTACATTTGAATATTGGCCTGTATGCCATCTCACAAGCCTCGAGATAACGAAGTATATATGTATCGCCCATACATAGTATATGAATAACAACGAGCGTGGACTGCGTCTAAATGACTAGCGAGGCCATGTTATGCTTAAGGTGATTCAATGTTTAAATGTGTAAAAAATGAGTGCATCCAAACAAAAAAAAGTACAAATCAGCAAGTAATTCATCCCAAATTTCAATAATATAATACGCTCATTGGGAGGGATTGCGATTTAAGTTGTAAAATGCTATTGCGGAACACGTTTTCGAGGATCGCTATCGTAGGTGACTTTGGGTAATCACATTTCGTGTGCATCGTAACATCGATCTAGCTGAGTTTAAATTCTATTATCGAATTTGTAAATTGGATGTAGTCTAGCGTAGTGGTCAACAGTGTATATAAGTTAGATATTGTTTAATTAGCTTTCACCCCTGACGCGTAATACAATCAGCCTACAAATATCGCGCCGGCTTTGTGTCGGTTCACGTAACGTGACGCTGCCTAGCTGACACTCTTCTATCAAGAAACGCACACGACAACTGCTTATATTTGTCGCAGTATAGAGAAGAATATTTTTTTCTTCAGTAAAATTATCATCGTGCTGCTTTACGTGGGTTATCTACGAATGAGCTAAACACTGATTCCAACGTGCAGTTTTGCTTTGCTTTCTAGCAGAAGGTTATTCCATGCCAAGTAAATATCACCATAGTGCTACACGATAAAACATATTATAGGTGACAGATGCTAAGTTATACATCGACATTTTAATTTACTTACCGTTAGTTCCAAGTAGTATACTAAACAAGCGAGTTGGGTATTGTAATATTGTGGAAGATCACGTTGTGAAGATGCTGGTTGTTGGAAGCTCGTACGCCCACATAAGATAGTGTGCCCAGTATAGGAAAGAGTGTATCATCACAGCAGAACAGTACTGTGTAGTAACTTACAGGAAAACCATTAAAATACACTGTCATCAGATCAAAGCATCGTATTTTTAAGAATAACATGTACTCGAATTCTCAAACTCGAAATCCTAATACTCTAGGTTGTGGTATATTTGTCCTTTCCCCTCTCTCTCTAGTCTCTCTAGATCAGAATACGCTCATAATTTTCTTGACTGTCCGACTACAAACTATAGTTTACAGTTTAAATACACCTTTTAAATAGATACACTCTACACTCTTATAGTCTACAGTCTACAGACTGCATCGGCCAGGCATCGGCGAGTGGCACATATACAATCCACATATTTTAAAATACATATATACCGAACAAATACGAATGTCCAATGATATAAAAGCATATTTGTTCCCATGACCCTCTCTAGATATTGTCGCTGGATGAGAAATGGATTCTCCCCAGAAGATCATGACCAGACATGTTGTTCCACATAGTTTTTGTTTTTTTTTCAAAACAAAAACATTTCCCATGTTGTTCGGTGTTCCGTATAGTTTTTGTTTATTTTTCAAAACAAAAACATTCCCCAACAAATCAGCAATTCAGCAACGGTATCCAAGTGAGCTTTGAAAGTCTAAATATTTAGCATTTACATGGCGGAGTATTCCTCTCGCGCGAGAAAATGAGAAGTATTTCAGATTCAGAGATTCTCAGGGTTCCCCGCAGTGAGCATTGTTTTGAATCTTTCTCGGTGTTTTATTTTTAGAATCCCTTTTTAGGCTTTTTTTTCCACAAATACCCGCAGTAGGGACTGGTATGGACTCTTTTCGTCAGATTTCTGAAAATTCAACGTCATAACGCCGACCTTTGGTATGCTATACTCATTTTCGAATATTTGGAGTAGACTCTCATTCTCTGTTGGTAGTTTCGACTAATTTGGCATCGAATTCTGTCCTGACTCATTCTGATAAATAGTATTTTTATTATTATAAATATTTCTTTAAAAATGAATTTTGTATTCATCCGTATTTATTTTTAATGCGTGATGGGCTGATGGCTGTGAAAAAGAATTATGATGGGTGATGTCACTGTGTCAGTGATGTCAATATCTTCAACTCTTGAAGTTGTCAGTGTTTTTTGGTCAACGTAGAGTGTCCGATTATTAGAATTGTTCCGTCAGACATCAGTGATGTCATCTCATTAGCCTGCTCTACCCTACAGACTACAGGGCCCTCTCTCTCGCTTTAGAGAAGTATGTCAAAACATACAAGTGACATCGCCTATTCAATGCAAATGAATTCAGAATCAGCGAGCGGAGGCCGTGGACTGTATGTATTTGAGTATTAAGCTCATATTTGGTTGCACTTTACACTGGGGCTTACGATCTTACTTTTTATCATATATGAACCCATGAGAATGGTGAGATAATCAAGGTGATATTAAAAAAAGATATCAAAACAAATATGTGAGATCGCCTATTCAATGCATATGAATTCAAAATCAACGAGCGGATGCCGTAAACTGTACGTATTCGAGTATCAAGCTCATATTTGGTTGCACTTTACACAGGGGCTTACGATATCACATTTCACCATATATAAGTCCATGAGAATGGTGAGAAAATCAAGGGGATAGTAAAAAGAAGTGGGGTTAAAAAGAAGTGTAAAGAACGAAGATCAGTTCGGATATTCTCATGGCTATCTTGTTGAATTTGATTTTTATTTCACAAGACAGAGGATCACATGATAATTTACCACATAATTCATGAAATAAAAAACGTTTATTGGGATCGCGATATAATTTGTGTGTTGCTATTTCGGAATACATTTTTCAAGGACCGCAATTGCGGTGACTATAGGTAACCATCTCTCGTGCGCATTGCAACATCAATCTCAGTTCTACACTTAGCTCGCCAAATATAAATTCTACTACTGTATTTGTAAATAGGACGCTGTTTTAGTGTGGTCAGCAGTGTCGAAAAGATCTCAGTATGAAATTCTCTGATCAAGAAATTAAGTATGGCGCTGTAAAAATTCCTTGATGTGTTGCCATGGAGACCGATATATATACGCCAGACACTGTTTGATAAGCTGGTAGCCTTCACGCATATTAGAGTATCAAATCACCCGCCGGTCTTTGACGTCCGCCTGACTTGCCGCTACCCAGCTTTTACGCTTCTGTATCAATAACAACTGCTTGTATTTATATATCCAGCATCAGGAACACATACTCATGTATTACTTTACATTGGTTATCTACGAATGAACTCGACATCGATTCCAACTTGTAGTTTTGCTCTGCCGGGCAGTATGGGGTTTTATCACAGCGAGGCCCCAACCTTGGTATTGATAAGGTCTTGCTTGCGACATGTCCTTAAAGAATATTCCTGAAAACAAGGTAATTCCACAACAAGTAAATGTCACTTTGATACTGCGCGATTAATGAATTAAATTATAACAAGTAAAAGATGCTCAAAGGTATACGTCGACAATTTAAATCACGTACCGCGAGTACAAAGCAATATATTGCTTGAATACCACATATATGAAGAAACTAGCTGGTGACTTCAACAAGCTAGTTGGATATTGTTATATTGTAGAGGATCACATCGTGGAGATGCTGGTGGCTTGAAGTTTATACACCTACATAAAATATGCCCAGTAAAGACAGAAGTGTTTCAATAGAGCAGAGTAGTATTTCCTCAGTAGTAACTAATTCGCATCCATTGAAAATACACTGGCATCAGATCAAAGCAGCCTATTTAAATATATATAT